CGGCTTTAGAGGATGTCAGATTCATCTGGCCGACCCAGAGTTTCGAATAAACCATTCGAGAAGCACCGGCGAATGGAATGGTGTGTGGAGGACAAACTGGAGAAGAACGAACTTTTGTCCTGATTCGATGTTGAAATTAAGGGTTTTAACGAAAAAGGGGTAAATATTATGATATTGTTAGAATTTTTAGCTTTTTCGAGTCGTTGGAGAAAATAATTAATGGTAAATATAATAAATTTAATAGTAAATATAATAAATAATACATTATTATTCTATTCTTTGCATTGCGATTTTAAATCTTGTCAAAATTGTGCAACATCTTGTCTTTTCAATTTTTATTCAGTATTCGGAATAATATTATGAAGTTATCTAAGATTTAATTTTAGAAAAAATAATTTTTTTTAAAAAATTAGATGCTTAAATTGACGTTAGTTGAAATAAGTATGATTAATATAACGAGTCTACATCAGAAATCTGTAGGATAAAAGTTTACAGTCCTCGTAATCCAGTGACGTACTCCAATATCTCAAGTGGTAGAACATATATTATGTATTAGAATGAAATTTTTTTTATTATTTATAATTTCTAATAGGAAATAGAAATAATACATAAGTTGTTAAAATTTCAGTTTGATTGATCTAAGAAAAGTTGCAAGAAAAATAATTTAGACACGTATAATTATTGGTCTTCAAGATTAATTATTTGTAAGCAAATTTTTATAACTTGAAAATTCATTCAATAATATTAGCAATATCTTTTAAATCATGTTTGAATTAAAGAAAAACTAAAGATACAAAAAATGCAAATTATATTTATTCTGATAAATCTAATTTTAATAATTTTTATATTTTTATATTATGTAAGATATATTTGGTAAATTACAAAATATTATCTGGCTGCAGAAATTTAATTCTACGATCCTTTCTTGTTCACTTCACCAGTGATTTTATAAAGTTATTTATAGTTTGTTTGATTTGCTTCTCATGAAGGGTGTGGTAGAATCTCCCATTCAAATTTTCTTGCTCACTTATTCAAGTCATTGTGGTATGAGTATGCTTATCATTATCGGTGATAGAATGCACCTTTCTGTTCGCTATATTTATTTAATTTTCAATTTTTTTATTAAATTTCATATTGATATTCCTCAATGTCGCATTATAATGTATAATTTATTTTCTTTAAATTCTCTCTTTGGAAAAATCGATATTTTTTATTTAATATTTTCATATAACATTCATTTAACAGAAAGAGAATAAATAAAGAAAGATATAATTGAAATTATATTTAAAAACAATCTTAAAGTTCAGCATATTTAAATATAAAAAATATAAAGATAGCAATTTTATTATTTATTTAAATTATGCATTTATGCCAAATTTAACTCAGTAACATTATGCAGATGAAACTGCACTATGTTATTCAAGGTCTTTTTTATCTTGGTACACACAACCTGTATTATGCAGCTCAGTTTTCAACTTCTCGATTATGTGGTTTCGATCAATTCTCTCTTTTCCCAATTGCAAATTTTTATTCAATTTTTTAAAATATTAATTGCTTTTTTTAGATAAATTCTATCGAATAAGCAAGGCTTAAAATTTATTTTCTGAATTTTTTTTATATAATTATTAATTAAATTAAAATTTGTATACTTATAGTAAAATATAAATTTTAAAATAAACTGTATTTTTATGTATTATTATATTTATATGCATTATAAATCAAAATAATATCAGTAACGAAATACTTAATGTTAATTTTTTTAATATTAATGAGATAAATTATAAATATGTTTTAAAGAATAAAAGTGAATGAAAATTCTTTTATTTGCCAAAATAAACGATTATAAATGATCTATTAAATTGAAAATTAACTTTCATTAGTTAGAATACAAAGAAATACAAAATTTTTATGATAATTATTTGAATTCAGAATAAATTCTGAATATATTTATGTATTATAATTAATTATTTTTATTTTCCTCACTTGTAAATTTCTTCTTCGTTGTATTAAATATTATTTTAGTAAAAAGATTAATATTGAGTAAGATAAAAAGATATAATTTATAAACAAAATTGTATCAAAAGCATATCTAGCCTATGAAAATATATTATATATATTAAATTGTGTTACACTGAAATTCTAATAGATGTCTCTAGTCTTCTGTAAAACGATAGAAAGTAGTGAATGTCGTTTCTGATCAGACATCTATACTAATAGTAAGTACTTACTTGTTGTAAAACCATACAATAATGACATTGAAACAAAAGACAAAATCATAATTAAAATAGGAAAAAAAAATTATCTTCTATTTCAAGATAAAATGATAAGAAATATTATATAAAAATTAAATGAAAAATATTATTTAAATACATATTGAAAAATCATTTGCTTTTCTGTTTATCTATCTATTCTTTTAAATTAAATTATTATTATTATATTCATTTATATTTATTATTTTAAATTATTTTGCCTCTTTTTTTCTTTACTCCTAAAAATTTAATCAATCATACGAAAAAAAAAAGCAAATAAGAAAAAACAAATTTTTCTTATAGAAAGTTCATATCAAAATGTACCAAAAGCAACAAAAACCTGTTTATAGCAAAGAAAGTAAAAGAAATTTAGTCGTAACCATGCCAATACGTTTGGGCTCCGAGAAAACTTAATAATCAGGACAAAAAAAGAAGAAAAAAAAAAATTGATCCAATCGATTTCACCGGCGCATCGTAATCGGCCCAGAAATATTGAAATCTGACAGGAAGCTCGATGACTCACCAAGATCCACTAACCGCAGAGCCTTGAGGAACGCAAAATGAAAAGAATCTTCCAACGTTCGACCACATCGTGTTGAATATTTTTCATTTTCTGCAAATCTTTTTTGCTCGCCAATCGCATCGTGATCAAAGCGGCGATTAATTGTGCGTCCAATCGTTCATTTTGTTAACGAAGATAGGATAAGAAAAGATCAAAAGTCTAATGAATCTTGTACTTATATACTATCAGTATTAAAAATTTGAAGTTTCTCTTCTATATTTATATATTGAGAGTTTTGTTAATATTCATATTCATTTGCAATTAATCCTTTCGTTACAAAAGGCAGCAAAATTTTTACATCTTCAAATATTAGATGGAAGCAAGGATAATTTATTTAATTATATTTAAATAATAATCGTAATGATGAAAGAATTGAATAGATAATTCGTTAGAAAAAACAAATATTCGAACATGTAGAAATATATATTATAATATTAATTTAATTTCAATAATATTTTCCAATATTATATTCTCTAATATTTCAAAACATTTTTTTCAAATATTATTCTGTATTTCTGGACTACATTACAATTAATTATAATATAAATAAAAATATAAATACTTATATAAAATTCCAACATAAAATATTTAGATAAAGAAAGATTCCATGAAAATACATGAGAAAGACACTCTCTTTCTCTAAATTTATCGGTTCTACGAAACGTGTACGATGAGTGTACATAATCTGTTAATTACCTTGACTGATATGAAAATGACTATACTTAAAAAAAAAGAACGGCAATTAAGCAAATGAGCACGAAACCACTTATACGAGGTAAACAAGGTCTTTCGAAGTTTCTGTGTGAAACTACCGTGTACAACTGAAAGGATTACCGTATAAGGGCAAGAAAAATATTCTCCTTTACTTATCAACATACGGAATTACTACGTATAATCCTCTCTTAGATATGATATATTTAAAATTAACACGCTTCTTTATTTTTAATGTATAAATTCGCTTTTTCTTTTTTATTTTTATTTTATGAAATGTATACGTATGAATATATAATTATATATGAATATTCCATCAAAATCACATCCAGTCACGCTTCCATTCCCTCAAAATGTAATCCTTCAAGCAGTGCACGATATATACATACGTATTATAGAAACCACGCCTTGAGAATCGGCCATTTTGATGCATGAATTCCTATTGGCTATAAACCGGCTGAATTTAGGGTGCTTTGTTCCTATAATCCCCTTCGGGATGATCTCTCTCGTGGCTTATATCCATGCGTCGAGAACGACGGTTCGATTGATAACAGCAATTCCCACCCATCTCATGCTAGTTTCCTCTCAATAACGTAGCCATTTTGTCGATGAACGTATTTATATGATGTTACTTTATTTTCTGCCTACTTGATATTCAAAAAAACATTGATAATTGCTGAGGCATTTTTATAACAATCGTGTCTGGATACGATGGAGAAAAAGATAATGATCACGAAGGCGATGTTAATTGATCTTTTCGTTCGTATATTCGTTTATTACTCATACGTGTGTATATAACGTTTAGTTATGGAAATTTAATTTGTATTTATGATATAGGGATATATATAATACTTATATGGACTCGAGATATAATTGCCAGTGTAACTTAATTACAAGACACGTATAATTTAGTGTGTTACTTACGAGCCAACCAGTAACCAAACTGATAGGATTGATGAGTATTAATATATCTATGTATAATTTAGTTTGACATTATTCATTTATTCATTATATAGATATTTTGTTAAAAAAGTTTTCCCCTTAATTTTCCCTTATTTATAATTTTTTAATTCTAAGTAAATTAAAGAAATAAAAGTCAAATATAAAATTCTACAAAGAAAATACAAGTAAAATTATATACATTTTTTTCATATTCTTATATCGTTATTAGAATTATAATATTATCTAATATTCTTTTAAATATAATATACGTAAATAATATTTTGATCACATTTATATTACAATTATTATAAACTATACATATATTTATAAATTGATTTATAGATAAATTCTCATATTAATCATCTTTGTAATTCATCTCTTAATTCATCATTAATATCCAATAATATTAATGGAATCATTTGTTTCGTTAATTTTTACATAGCTTTTATTTATTTCGTCTCTAATAAAATTGTACAATAGCAGAGATCATGAAAAATAATCTAATGTTGAATTTATTTGTTTGTTTCCCTCAACAGCTAGCAACGAAATCCGTAACATGCACTTCTTGAAAGCAATCAGAATGTCCCAACCTAGTCGTGCGTTCCGCTGCACCGCGGCATGTGCTGCACCCACGGGGCCGCCAACGGGACCTCCGACATACGAGGGTGATGTGCCCTTCATAGGGGTTGGACCACCCCCGAATCCCATCCATTTCAGGCCGTTTCTTCATCCCGAGAATGCTCATATACCGGCTACGAGACTACCGTCCAGCCCAGATGGTCCTCCGAAACATACGTAGCCTCAGTAAGTCTTTTTTATCATAATTTCATGTACAAGCTTTGCACACAGATCTCAATTCTAGTATCAGTCATTAAAATTATTCATATAAATAATTTTTTAAAAGTTTTATTTCGATAGAACAATTTTTTTCGATCGATCTTTTGTCTTTTGAATTAGAAAGTTTTTGTGGTCTATATTTTTAAAGATTTTTGTATTTAAAAAAAAAAGTGAAATAAACTCTTTGATTACATAGATGAACGTGATTTATCATAGAATTTATTTGTCATCAGAAACTAGAATCGTGATATTTTAATTTTGTTTTAAAAATTTATAATAAATGATTCTTATTGGATTTTTAAAAAAGATATTATTTATGGGATGACTTAATATTTCTATTAATGCAATCGTGAGCAGTTATCTCAATAATTGGAATTAACAGAAATATAATAGTATTAGTATCCATTAGAACGGGTTCTGTTTGCATAGTTTGCATAGTTTTAACCTTTAGAGTATACAGGATATCTATTCTAAGTGGCCAATGCTTATTTAACAAGATAAAATTTTTATAAATTATATCAGATAAATAATCATACACAAATTTTTAAACAATTTCTGCCATGATATATAATATAATGTTCATTATTTGAATTTAAAAAAAACTTTGGAGAGTAAATATGTTAAAATTTATTGGCATTCAAAAATATCTAAAGAAATTTAAATTTGCAATACAAAATTTAACAATCGAAATGATCAAAATACATTCATAAAGATTTTTTCATTCTTTATCTATATCTTCTATATAAAATAAAAAATCTCAAATAAATATTATTTTTTGAAATTGTACGTCTATGTGATAGAAGTCATAATAAACAATATCAATAGTTGAAGAAACTAATACGAATTTCCGGCGGAAATCTGGGGATTAGTTTTCATTTTAAGACGTAATAATCTATTTCACTTTTCTCGCTCCTTCACTATTCTCTCTTTCTCCCCTGACACCCTTCTTTCGTCTGGAACGTTCGAAGCCAAAGTCGTAATCGCAAATCCGGCACACATAAAACAGATTCTAACCTATAAAATGCCATTCCATTCGAAAGCCAGTTGGACCGCAACACTTAGAACCAGCAAGGTATGTTTCCTTTTTCCATTTCTCTCTTCTTTTTCCTGATTTTACGTTCGTTCTTTCAAGAAGTTATTTATTTAACAATTTTCACGATTCTTCTAAACTTCTTCTCCTCCCCCTCTCCCAAACAATGTTCTATCGAATTTAAACACTGATTAAAAAATCTTATACGAAATGAATCGTACAATGATACAAATACAATGATTATTAAAAATTATATATATCAGCATATTTATATTTTTTACTTTATATAAATATACGAAAAATCATAAAGTTTCATTTCAGAAATAAAAGATGTATCGTAAAATATCTTGATATATCTAGATGTTTCTTTAAAACAGTAAAACTTATTCCATCCAAACAACAAAACTTTTTAACATCATTCGTCTCAGAATCATACTACGTACTTTTATTTTCCACGCAATTTAGAAAAGAAATACACGCTGAGTTTCTTAATGACAAATTAAATATTAGAATATTCTAATATTTAAAAATGCAATTCAATTTGCAATGAATTTAAATGAAGAATGTCGATTCTTCTAATTTATCGAGTAAATAATATCTCATTATTCCATACCATAATTAAATGCAATTGATCTTTCATTAAATTCAATTCTGTGAAACTCTATTTCACAAATTTTTAAAGACAGCTAAGAATATACGAAGAGAAATTTCGAAGAGACAGAATCAAACCGCGAAATTATGCTTATTTACTCTATCCGTTCCTAGCAAGGAATTTTTGAAGCGATTTTTGAGACCAATTTCATCAAAGCGGCCGCTTCCTATGAACCTCCGCTCCACACGGGAGTTTAAAGGTACGATCTCGGTTTTAACGATGACGACACCATAAAGAATCGAATTTACGAGTCGTCCGGCCACCCCTCGTTGGGTGATTACCTCCACTTTGTCGGGATTCTTGGCTGATCGTTTCCCTTCCATTTTCGATGGAATGTGTTCCATGATGAGAAATTGTAAAATCGTTTCTACTGTCGACAATTATATATAATTATATAATGTACAATTGTTTCTTGAGAAATTTTGGAGACCATTGGTATTCATAATTTTAAATTGATTTATTCAGTTTCCTTTTCGTATCTCATGAGACTTATGCTTTAATTATTATTCTTCTTCTTCTTCTTTTTAATTTTAATGGCGATGATTCATAGAAGAAGAAAATATAGACGAAATGGGAAACTATTACAAGAATAGTACTGTGACAATGATATTTGACAATTGTATGTATTTATGAATAAATTTTGATTTTTATTCTTCATAATATTAATCACATTAATATTAAAGTTATTTCACACAGTATATTATTCATAAGAAAAGGAAAATATTTAGTTTATATATACTATTATACGGAAATGTATGTACTTACGTCTTACTTACTAGAAAATTTCTTTGTCCCTGCAACTCGGTATAATTACTTTAAGAAATAGAAATAAAAAATTTATACAGCATTTAGAATATAGAATATAGAATGGCGGTGCAAACGAAGAGAAGTTAGGATGACGTTGTACCCGCCATAGAAATGGTGAATCATGTCCGCCAAACAAGAGTATCGTTGGACTGTGGCCAAGTTTAAAGCCCTAACGATGCTACTTCACCGAAAGATTTTGCAGGGAGATACGATAGGTCAATCTCGTCTCGTTTATAAATGACATTGATGCTTTGTTTAAAGAGGGTACAGAGTCAATAAATTCGCTGCTATAAAAGATATAACCAAGCTGGCATCTTCTTCCGGAATGCGAGATATACAAAACAAAAAGAAAAGGCGACGTTATCTGCATCCTAATTGAGAATCGAAGTAATGCTCCTTTTCATATTGCCAAATTTGCAGTAACTTTTATTTTTTCAAGTTTTATTTATAAATGTTAGAAGCAGAAATGATTAAAATTTGTTTTTGGAAATGCAGTTATAATATATACATTGTATTTCTAGAGAAATTCAAGAAATTTAGATCAGAAAATTTCAATTTTTTCGATAAATATTTTTTCGATAAATATTTTCGAAATTTATTTTCTAAGAAATTTTAATTATCTTTGATACATTTTATAAATTTCTGTGGGAGCAAAACGTCCCGATTACCATCCAGTAAATATATTTCTTACACAGATTATCATATCATTGTAATACAATTTCAAAATCTTGATCTTTGACATACGTGTATACGTCATCATACATCATAGATATATCGTATGCATATACATTCGAATACATGCATACGTAATAGAAACCTGTTTTCTAAGATATTCGATTTATCATATGATCGTGTAAAGAAACATGAAAAAAAGATATTTTCCAAGATAACCGGTCGATAATAGCATTCGATCAGAAATTGCGGGGAAAGAGAATCACTTCTGTTTTCTGTAGCTGGCGGCATCAATGTTATCAGATGGGGTCCCTCGAATTTAACGGCGGTCGTAAACGCGGTTTGCTTTACAGCTCGCGATATTTTTTCCTCCCCTTTTCCCTCCTCATATCACGTCCTCTCTGTCCTCTATCCGTTCTTTTCTCTATCCGTCATCGCGGAGTCGTATACGAAGCCGTGCATCCCCCTCACTCCCAACTTATTTTACTCGAGCCGCAGTAAACTGGCGGAGTTTATGTGACAGACACTAGCCAAGTCGAAATCATCTCGCGAATCACGGAACAAGCACGGTTTCCCCCGCGAGGACACGCCGGAACTCGTGGATCCTGTCTTTGACCCGCTCGTAAACGCTTCAGACGATTTCAAGGAACAATGAAAAGAATTGTCTTTGAGAGAGTGCGTTGACCATCGATCCTGTGTTCCAAAGAGTGTCGTGATTTTATATACTATGTTTTTGGGCTAGGTCAGTTTCTTTTTGCGCGAAAAATTTTATAGAAGTATAATAATAATAATAATATAGATTGAATTGTTATTAATTTTCCAACTGCTGTGACTTTATTGAAAAGTAGTTGTATAATAATCTTCGTGGGATTGTTTTAAAGATCGAACCCTCTATTTTCATATTTGTAAGTTAAATTTCTTTGAAAATTATTTTAGGAATAAGATGATTTTTCTCTTGAAAGAAAATTCATAATCACCACTGAATTTGAAAATTGAAATTCTTCTCTTATTCCCTTTAACTATACGATTTCTTTTTATTTTTTTTAATTAAGAATAGATTGATAATGATTCAAACACTCATTGTATATATACAAAGTGTTAAATATATTTATGAACGATTTTTGGAAGATTTTATTATTTTTATTTTCCGTGCAAGAACTTTCACGCAATAAATAAAATAGTAATAAACTTTTTACGTAACTTTTTTTTATATAAGCACCATCAAACATATCAAGCGTGTTTTAACATTTTTAGTTTCTCGTATATTTTTATTGAAGGAAATATAAGTTACAATATTATGCTTACCATTAATAGAATAAATATTGCATTATCTACATATCTTCTGTCTTGCATCTCTTACGTTTTACAATCGATCATTATAAATATTTGAAATATTTATAATTCACGTATCTTTCCCTTCGATATTAACGAGGCACAGGGACGATAAATTTTTAATGACGATCAAAAAGAAGAATCCGATACCGATAGTTAGTAATCCAAAACGAAACGATATCATCGATTTCGAGGAAGGAAAATTTTATTGGCAGTATAAATTCCCTCCCATAATTTAAACAAGCAAGCTAAGGATTTACAACTGGACGCGTAGAAAATAATCCTGTAAACGAGTTTAAGGGGTGATTGCACGTTGCTATGGCAAACGAAACAGCTAATATATTTTGCCCAGTATAAGTGTGCGACAATAAAGATCTAATCGTTCTGTGAACATTACGGGATAAAGCTGCGCTGTGGGTGTGTATTTTTTTTTTTTTTTTTTTTTTTTTTTTTTGCGTACACGTATCGTAAAAA